AGTCACAGTCAGGCAGTCTCCGTGGTGTAGTGGTAAGACACTCGCCTGGCGTTCCGCGAGCGCTATGTCATGGGTTCGTATCCTGGCCGGGGAGGATTTACTGGGCGCAATTCCTTAACTGTAGCCTCTGTTTAACGCAACAGTAAAATGTGTACTTGGATGAAAAAACGATTCTTCGCGGCGGGGGATCGTATTCCAGGGACCTGCCCGAAACGCTACGCGTACTAGTGGCTGTACAAGAATGTAACAACTCTTGTGTATATCTCAAATACACACAGCGTTCAGGGAAAGGTGTGGGAAAAAAACACTTAGGACTAAAACTTAATACTAATTGAGATCAAAGCAAAAATGGAGTTGAAAAAATCACAAAGTATCAACTGAACACATCGATATTGTATGTCTCCGGGAGTGCCCAGTTCCCGCAAGATCCTCACCCCCGAAATTGTCCTCATTTGTTTCTTACAACCTCAGATCCAGTAACTCTTGCATTCTATACATCAAACAATCCCTACCCTATCAACTTCTGCCAGAAAAACAAACTGCCGGTCAACAGTATCATGAAGTGAGGATCTATGTGGGCAACTCTGTCCTCAATGTATTTAATCTATATACTCCAGCAGGAAAGTTAAATTATATTGATCTTCCGGCCTGCGCTCAAGCAGAGCCAACCATCATTCTTGGTGACTACAATGCTAGACGCAAGGACATTGGTGGCTCTCGCTTCAGTAACGGTAATGGGAATCAACTGCTGTCGCTACTAAATAGTCACCAAGATGTGCAGATTGTGGGTGACCTTGAACCCTCCCATGTTTGTGGAGGCATTCTAGACCTGTGTGTTGGTTTGTGGGTGACCTTGAACCCTCGCATGTTTGTGGAGACATTATAGACCTCTGTGTTGGTTTGTGGGTGACCTTGAACCCTCGCATGTTTGTGGAGACATTATAGACCTCTGTGTTGGTTTGTGGGTGACCTTGAACCCTCGCATGTTTGTGGAGACATTATAGACCTCTGTGTTGGTTTGTGGGTGACCTTGAACCCTCGCATGTTTGCGGAGACATTCTAGACCTCTGTGTTGGTTTGTGGGTGACCTTGAACCCTCGCATGTTTGTGGAGACATTCTAGACCTCTGTGTTGGTTTGTGGGTGACCTTGAACCCTCGCATGTTTGTGGAGACATTCTAGACCTCTGTGTTGGTTTGTGGGTGACCTTGAACCCTCGCATGTTTGTGGAGACATTCTAGACCTCTGTGTTGGTTTGTGGGTGACCTTGAACCCTCGCATGTTTGTGGAGACATTCTAGACCTCTGTGTTGGTTTGTGGGTGACCTTGAACCCTCGCATGTTTGTGGAGACATTCTACACCTCTGTGTTGGTTTGTGGGTGACCTTGAACCCTCGCATGTTTGTGGAGACATTCTAGACCTCTGTGTTGGTTTGTGGGTGACCTTGAACCCTCGCATGTTTGTGGAGACATTCTAGACCTCTGTGTTGGTTTGTGGGTGACCTTGAACCCTCGCATGTTTGTGGAGACATTCTAGACCTCTGTGTTGGTTTGTGGGTGACCTTGAACCCTCGCATGTTTGTGGAGACATTCTAGACCTCTGTGTTGGTTTCAACGTCTCTCACGTCTGGTGCACATCATCTATTGTAACAGATTTGTTGTCAGATCATCACCCTAGATTGACTACTCTATGTATAGGAAATACCATCCTGCCCGGTGGGACTTTCAAATGCAAACGGCTCACTGTTCCTCCTGCTCGACGTGAAGACTTTGTTGCTCATGTGTCAGACATAAAATAAATAATACATAAAATAAGGAGAATGCGCCAAGCCATTACGACTGTATAGCACTTGGAAGGTGTCAGGATAAGGATTTGGGATGGGACGGGGGAAGGAATGGTGCCCAGCCACTTGGACGGTCGGGGATTGAACGCCGACCTGCATGAAGCAAGACCGTCGCTCTACCGTCCAGCCTAAGCCGGACGGTAGAGCCAAAATAAAATACTACGAAAATAAATTTACCCACATTAAAGGCAATATTAAGAAAACATGGAGCACAATTTCCCAAATATTAGGATCAAAAAAGATTTTAAATAAAAAAAAATACTCCTGTTCAATAACGATGGTGTGCTTTCAGCCTCAGACACTGCTACTGAATTCAATAGGTTCTTCTCAACCATTGGAAGATCCCTTACTCATGATATTCCATCCTCACTCACTAATATTAAAGACTACCTTACAGGTAACTATCCACAGTCTCTGTACCTAACTCCTGCTAATTCCACTGATGTTACTGACATAATTCTTTCCCTTAAGACCAAGTCTAGTGCCCTTGCGGAGATACCAACTCAAATCTACAAAAAAGCCTCCAGGCCTTTAGCTCCTGCTATTGCATTGCTCTACAACAAGTCACTTGAACTCCAAACCTTTCCAGATATTCTAAAAAAGCGAGAGTAACCCCAGTCCATAAATGTGGTGATCTCACTGATGTCAACAACTTCAGACATATATAAATTCTGCCAAACTTGTCAAAAATATTTGAAAAACTAATCTACAAGTAGCTTTACTCTTATCTAGCCAAACACAATATACATAGTTCTTGCCAATATGGCTTCAGACCCCAAAAAGCACTAACGATGCACTAATTAGTATGATTAACTTGATACATGCCGCTCTTGATAAAAATGAGTTCCCTGTTGGGTTATTTGTGGACCTGCGTAAGGCTTTTGACACTGTCAACCACCAAAACCTTCTTCTTAAATTACATCATTATGGAGTCAGAGGACACTCCCTGCACTACCTTCAGTCTTACCTTACTGACAGGCTCCAGTATGTTTCTGTGAATAATACAATTTCTCCCACCCTACCCATCAACATTGGTGTTCCTCAGGGCAACATACTTGGCCCTCTCCTCTTTCTCATCTACATTAATGACCTTCCAAATGCCTCCCAACACCTCAAACCAATCTTATTTGCTGACGACGCAACCTTCATTTTCTCCAGTCTCTGAACATCCTCTTAGGTATACTCTATATATTTAAAACTCTGAATTGTAATGCCAATCCTGACCTTAAAAGCTTCCTAGAAGGTTGTAACAGAACCCATGAGCACCACACCAGAAACAAATACCTATTTGATATTCTAAGAGTACGACTTAACCAAACTAGAAATGCTCTACAAATCAAGGGACCCAGAATGTGGAATGACCTTCCCAGTCATGTCAAAGGCTGTACCTCTCTCAATTAGTTTAAGAGAAAACCTAAGTACTACCTAATAAATTCCATGTAACTAACCTTACCCCCAAATTATCAACTCATGTCTTGCTATTTTCAAACAATACTGTTTGTTGACCAATTTGTATAATTGCTGATTTCTGCAATGTTCCCCCTCCCCCCTTTTTCAACACAATTTATACTTTAATCTCAATTAGTATTAGGCTTTACTCTAAGTGTTTTTCCCGCCACACCTTGCCCTAAACGCTGTGCGTTAGTGGCTTTAGGTATTGTAGGTACTACCTCTATCTAGAAATCCAACATTATGTTTGTAACTCATCTTATATGTATGTACTTTTACCTGAATAAACATTTTGAACTTTGAGGTATTTGTTTCTGGTGTGGTGCTCATGGGATCTGTTACAACCTTCTAGGAAGCGTTTAAGGTCAGGACTGACATTACAGTTCAAAGTTTTAAATATATAAAATACACATGAGAGGATGTGCAGTGACTTAATATCTAACATATTCAAAGATTTAAGTAAGGGTACCGAGTAATGTCTGGGGCCAGTTTGATATTGTCCTAATAGCAGCTTTGTGTTGAGTAATTAGAGGACGTAATGCAATGGGAATATGGAACACTCATGGGGTCCGCGGTTCGAGTCTCATACAGCTTATTAATATAGAAGTAAACACAGGCTGAATATTTATTTAATACCTACTAAGGTGAATATGTTCCTACTAATCTTTGTCAAATATTCTTACAATGTAACTGTTAATATTTGTTAAATTTTCCTAGAAATTACCTACTTAAAATTATCTGTTAGATTAAGGATCTTACAAGAATGTAAAACATCAACGCTATTTTCTCTCATAAACCCAATTATGCAGTACACCAATTGCTTTAAATTCAGATAAAGCTGAGAGTCGAGATTCAATTTCTTTCAATTTCTTTCTTTATTACGAGAGGAAAGATATAATTTGTATTATCTCTGGGAAGAGAGATAATACATGAATGTGAGCGCCTACGAGCACAGTTACGTGAGTACAGGGCACCTTGAGGCGTGTCAGTGGGTGAGGACACCTGTAGGCGTGCTGGGCGCCCGCCCAAGCCTTGTCCTCACGTATGAGTGATAATAATGTTATAACAGTCATGTGAGAGATGCATGGCATCTTGAGTAATGTGTAGGGTGACGGGGGGACGGGGCCATCATGAACGTCATCTTCACACTACTTCACCCTATATACATATATACGGTTTATCAGTTCATGAATAAATTGGGAAAGAAATACATAATTTATTGACATATTTGTTCATTTGAGACCTTCCCCTGGGTCATATATATGAGATATCTATAACTGCATAAAATGTATAATTTGTGTTTCTTAGGCGCTACAGTAATCTTTTAGTGTTCTTACTATAACTATATTAATTTTGGGGAGTATTAATATGACAAACATCGCGTACGGTATGGATGTGGAGGTTCTATAAGTATATCGCAGAACTGCATCATATATCATTTAAGTGTTTTTTAATGCTAACCTGTTATTTAATGTAAAAGTATTTGTATTGTAATTATGGAGATAATTATTATGCCTAGTATGATGTATACTAGTGGATATAGAGTACAAATTGAGTGATACATTAATTTGCATCAAATATCATTTCCGTGTTCTGAGGCTATATACGTATCTTTTACATATAAAATAAGTATATATTAATTACAGGAAGTATTATTAGTGCAGATTAGAAGTGTGGTAGAGGATATGTAGTAATATTAGTGAGGGTGGAGAACCAAGAGGCCGGCGGGAGGGCAGCTTGGCTTGGTCCGCCATCACCGCCGTCCACCAGCACCACCCGACCCTCACCCGCCGCCACCCGCTACACCCGCCCACCATGGAGAACGGTTCCCCGCAGAAGAGTCGTGATGGAGGAGGCAACATGGGAGGCCGTGGAGGTGGTAACTACCAGGGAGGCCACGGAGGCCACGGAGGAGGAGGTGGAGGCGGCGGCGGCGGCCAGGGAGGCCAGAAGCGTGGAGGGCCGCCGCCCTATGGCCGCCACCCTCAGTATGGCTACGTAAGTGCCTCTAACGTGACGCCATTACCCACAGTTATAGTGACGGGAGACCACCACCAGCCTCCCGGGACAGTGTTGTGGCCAGAAAGGGGGAGACGGTACAACATTTTAGTGGAGTGGGTCAGGCAAGACACCTGTAGCGCAGTGGTCTACGTCGTCAGCTCGCAACTGTGGGCCCGGGCCTTGAGTGTGTATATCTTGCTGGCCAGAGAGTGCGGGCGGGCTCAAGGGGTCGAGTAACGTATAATGGCTTGTGTTGGAGCGGTTGTAGAGATTTGGCCACACTCTTGAATACTTTCACAGCTACACTGTTTTAAGATATTTATTTCTATATATAGGAGTTGTTACATTCTTGTAGAGGCAGCAGGACTCGTAGCGCCTCGGGCAGGTCCTTAACCCAATGTTCCCTGGAATACGACCCACCAAATGGTTTACCAACCAGGTGCCCATTACTGCTGGGTGAACAGAGGCTACGGTTAAGGACTGGTGCCCAGTCAATCCTCCCCGGCCAGGATACCAACCCAGGCGAGTGTTACCACTGCGCCTGGCTGATACCTGGTTGATGGGGTTCTGGGAGTTCTACTCCCCAAGCCCGGCCCGAGGTCAGGCTCGACTTGTGAGAGTTTGGTCCACCAGGCTGTTGCTTGGAGCGGCCCGCAGGCCCACATACCCACCACAGCCCGACTGATCCGGCACTCCTTGGAGGAAACTATCTAGTTATCTCTTGAAGATGTCCACGGTTGTTCCGGCAATATTTCTTATAGTCGCTGGGAGGACGTTGAACAACCGCTGACCTCTGATGTTTATACAGTGTTCTCTGATTGTGCCTATGGCACCTCTGCTCTTCACTGGTTCTATTCTGCATTTTCTTCCATATCGTTCACTCCAGTACGTTGTTATTTTACTGTGTAGATTTGGGACCTGGCCCTCCAGTATTTTCCATGTGTATATTATTTGGTATCTCTCTCGTCTCCTTTCTAGTGAGTACATTTGGAGAGCTTTGAGATGATCCCAATAATTTAGGTGTTTTATCTCGTCTATGCATGCCGTATATGTTCTCTGTATTCCCTCTATTTCAGCAATCTCTCCTGCTCTGAAGGGGGAAGTGAGTACTGAGGAGTACTCGAGACGGGACAACACAAGTGACTTGAAGAGTACAACCATTGTGATGGGATCTCTGGACTTGAAGGTTCTCGTAATCCATCCGATCATTTTTCTGGCTGTCGCAATATTTGCTTGGTTATGCTCCCTAAACGTTAGGTCGTCGGACATCATTATTCCCAAATCCTTGACATGCTGTTTTCCTACTATGGGCAGATTCGATTGTATTTTGTACCCTGTATTATGTTTCAGGTCCTCATTTTTGCCGTATCTGAGTACCTGGAATTTATCACCGTTAAACATCATGTTATTTTCTGCTGCCCAATCGAAAACTTTGTTAATATCTGTTTGTAGTTTATCAATGTCTTCAGCAGAGGTAATTTTCATGCTAATTTTTGTATCATCTGCAAAGGATGACACGAAGCTGTGACTTGTGTTTTTGTCTATATCTGATATGAGAATAAGGAACAGTAGCGGTGCAAGGACTGTACCTTGAGGTACAGAGCTTTTAACTGTGCTCGGACTCGATTTTACTTGATTGACTGTTACTCTGTGTTCTGTTCGACAGGAAATTGAGTATCCAGCGTCCTACTTTACCAGTTATGCCCATTGACCTCATTTTGTGTGCAATCACTCCATGGTCACATTTGTCGAATGCCTTTGCAAAATCTGTGTACACGACATCTGCATTATGTTTTTCCTCTAATGCCTCAGTGATTTTGTCATAGTAGTCAAGTAGCTGTGAGAGGCATGATCTTCCTGCTCTAAATCCATGTTGGCCTGGGTTGTGGAGGTCATTGGTCTCCATGACACTAGTGACCTGACTTCTGATGACTCACTCAAATACTTATATTATGTGGGACGTTAGTGCAACTGGTCTATAATTCTTTGCCAATGCTTTGCTACCACCCTTGTGTAGAGGGGCAATGTCTGCTGCTTTAAGCGCATCTGGTATCTCCCCCGTGTCCAAGTTCTTCCTCCACACTATACTGAGTGCCTGTGCTATTGACACTTTGCATTTCTTTATAAATATTGAATTCCATCAGTCTGGACCCAGGGCTGAGTGCTTGGGCATATTGTCAATTTCTCTTTCAAAATCTGCCACGCTTGTGTTGATATCAGTTACATTTACAGGGGGTTGAGTATCATTCATAAAGAAATTGTCCGAATCTTCCACTTTCATGCTGAGTTTCGCCACGGGGACTTGTGAAGTGTTTAGAAGTGGGTCAGTCTGATGCCGCCCCCCAGAGACCAGTATCATTGTGCTGCCGTCCCCCAGAGACCAGTATCATTGTGCTGCCGCCCCCAGAGACCAGTATCATTGTGCTGCCGCCCCCAGAGACCAGTATCATTGTGCTGCCGCCCCCAGAGACCAGTATCATTGTGCTGCCGTCCCCCAGAGACCAGTATCATTGTGCTGCTGCCACCCCAGAAACAGCAACACCCATCCATAGTGTTGCTGTCTCTGGGGGGGACAAATCCGTAGTCAAATTATTTCTTAAATGTGTGTGTGTGGCATTTTGCAAGTAGCCAGGTAGAGTAGTCAATAAACAATGCCTACAAGGCACATCCCACACACAAGTTTAGAAACATTTTGAATCCATTGTAACAACCCAAATGACTGGACCAGTCTTAACAGTACAGTGCACAGTTTTCATAACTAGCAAATGAGACGTTAAAACTCTTCCGTACAGTTTGGTTATAAATTCTGCTTCTGATTTCCAGGACAAGATAAAGGAGAGAGTGAACACAGAACTGAGTGGTCCACAGCTTGATTTGCCTCCCCTTGACCTAGCAGAGAAGAAGTTTAATGCTAGTAGCCGCTTGTTCGTGGGTAATCTACCCCGGGACTTGCCTTATGAAGAACTCAAGGAAGTCTTTTCTCAGTATGGAGAGTTGGGTCAAGTGTATTTCAACAAAGATGGAGCATATGCCTTCATTAATTTTGTAAGTATTTTTTCTTTGGTTTAACATTGCCACTGTTCAACTTGTAACCATAGCTTTGCCTAAAAATGATGAAAAATGAGACTGCTATTATTTTGTGAAAGTATTATGGAAGAGTCTTAATGTGATCAAGACTGTATAATCAGATATCAGTGAACATAATGCCTTTTATAATGTTAGTGCTAGGCAGGTAGCCACAGCACTCTGCCATTGTTTGGTCCATCTAAGCATCTTGAAATAGACACCATGTTCCTTCACATTGTAAACTTGTAGAAAATTATTCATTTATAGGATTTAGTGACAAGTATCCTGATAATAGCAGCATTATGTCGAGAATTAATGTGTGTAATATGTTGGGAGGAATCCCCCCCAAGTGAAATGGCATTATTAGCTGTTTGGCAAAGGCCAAACTGGTGGCTTTGTGCTGTTTGGACTTGCCAAACCAGCTTAGTTGTTCATTATTGTACACACAAATGTAGATACAGTAGTTATGTATGTGTGTATATATGTGTGTATATAGCAAAAATAGTTGGGAGGATGTATCTTGCCGAGTGAGGTATCATCGTTAGCTGACTTGGTGTGTTAATGCTATGCTGTTTGGACTCGATAAACCAGCATAGTGTGCATTATGGTAATCAAAATGTAAATAGTGCACCCTCGAATCAATAAACTATTTTGGACCCCACCCCAACGTTGCAGCGAGGGATTTGTTACCGCCGGAGATTGCTCCAGGAGTCCCATATTTGTGAACGAAAACCGGGAAATGTCAGAATGAAAACGCACCATAGAATGTGGATTGAAATGTGCTCAATGGCTTTTCCAAGCCTCAACTCTTCTAATGTTTCATCCATTTATGAAATTCATTAAAAGCATGATTGAAGCCATATGAACAATTACCACTCGTACTCTAATATTTCCCATGCTCTACGGGGTAATTTCATTAAGGGAACCTTTAATTTTTAATCTATGATGGGCAAGTTTTCCACTTGTTTGTAAACTGTCCAAACATCCTAAAAGCAAATCTGCATGTCCCCTGCCTCAGTGAACAAGAGTTCAAGGAATCGGGCAGGTAAATTAGGCCTGGAAAGTGTGCGGTTCAACTGCAGATTTGCAGAATAGAGGTTCAACTGTAGTTATGCTCAATATTTGAGTACTGAATAGCAATTGTCCACACAATTTATATAAATGAATTGCATTACACACTATGGAATAATATTACAAAAACCAGATAAAAAAAGCTGTGAAACACATTGAAATGATTATGTAATAATATCTATGGCAACTGCTGCCACACAGCTCTGCTGAAGCAGACAGAACAGGATGTGTACTCTTAGTGTTTTATCTTGCCGGACTTCCTCTCCCTATCACAGCCAAAATATGTAACATGATTTTGTTTTTATTTTTCCCTGTGATCAAGTAATGCATTTAAAAATTTTTTTTAATGAAGTACAGTACAGTACTTAAATATTTTTTTGAACACCATTGATATATCTGAATTCCATGGTTTTACATTCAATTACATAATGATGCAATGTGAATAAATCTGGTGACAGTTTACATTTAGTCAAGTGTTCATCAGCAGGTGGTGCAAACTCCCAGAGTACTACTTCTTAAAAGGCATTAAAATGTTTGTTATGAGTGGTGACTGGTTAGAGACTGGGCTGTGGAAACATTGATAATCTGAAATCCCTACAAGGTAGTACAGTGTAAGTTAAGGGGCCAATAGATTCAAATATGCCAAAAATGAAAACTGGTTCAATTGCAATCAAACTTTTTTGATGAGTTATATATGAAAAGGGTTTCATCTGGTCCAAGTCTCGGCATCATAGCATAAATAGGAAGGGAGAAAAAATATTGAATTTTCAAAAAATTTCCAAAATGGTCAAAAACGATTATCAAACACAAGTGTCAACTGAAATCATGTCTGACTCAGCTATCACAATAGCATATATTAAAAAATTATTAGTTTTATTAAAAAAAATATTAAGTTAAAAAAAAAAAATTTTTCAATTTTTTTTTTATCGGATGATTTGCATGAAACTTGTACACGTGACTGAACGTAAGCCTATCTGTAAGGGTGCCAATTTTGGAGGAAATTGATTGATGTCAACCTCAGCCACAGATGGCAGCATCTTAGACTTAATTATTTTCTTATTTATTTTCAAGTAACACAAAAATTCTTAACTAATTTTTTATTCAATTTACATGAAACTTACACCTTATATGTAGAGTGTATGTCTTTAAAATCTGCTGCCAGCTTTGCTTCCTAAGTTAATTTAGTGATTTTATAATAGCAATAAACATGATTATATTTGCATAATTTTTTGGGAGAACTTTGACTATTTGTATTAGGAAAACTAAAGATGTATTGGAAAATATTTGGCGCTAGATCCTTTATTATATGCTAATGTAACAGAAAAGTGTCATAGAATGATTATATCTGAATGGTGTGGTTGTTTGTAAACACTTGAAAATGTGTAATATTCGTTAACAAAAAAAAATTAAAAATTAAAAATCTCCTGTTCTATTTATGCTGCAGTACTGAAACTTGGAACAATTGCAGCCCTGTTCATATACAACTAGTCAAAAAAATATTGGTTGACATTGAACAACTTTAAAAAAACTATCTATTGGCCCTCTAATGTGAATTGTCAAATATGTCACGTGGCTTAAAATTTGATATTTGTACAATACTATTGAACTGTTTTGTATTGTAGTTAGGGATATTGGAAGGCCTAGCTCTTGAATAACAATTTTTGTAAATTATCAGAATGTGGTAGGTTATGAAGATGAACAAATTAACCTTCACATTTTAACATTCATTTTTATTTAGGATTACCGAGCTAATGCCGAGAAGGCTAAGCGCGAATTGCAAGGAAAGAATTGTCGCAATCGTCCCATGAAGATCAGATACGCATCAATATCTACGGGTGTGAGAGTCAAGAATCTAACCCCTTGCGTGTCGAATGAGTTGCTGGAAAAAGCCTTCAATGTATTTGGTCAAGTAAGTTGTTATAAAGAGCCTCCCATTTCTTTTTTCAGCCTTTGCTTATATTTGGAAGTCATTCAGTGGATAGTTAATTCTGTGTTGCTAATGGCTGCAGTAATTTTTATTTTAATCCTAAATATATAAATATGGCCATAAAGTTATACAAATTTAATACTGTATTGTTTATTAATAAATTTTCAGATACGTAATCGTTGAGAAACTTCGTTGCAATCAATTGTTTATATACCTGGTCTTATGGGTTGTAATTGTTGGTTTGGGGTTATCACTTGGTCTTAGGGTTGTAACTGTTGGTTTGGGGTTACCGCTTGGTCTTAAGGTTATAACTGTCGGTTTGGGGTTATCACTTGGTCTTAGGTTGCAATTGTTGGTCTTACGGTTGTAACTGTCGGTTTTGGGTTATCACTTGGTCTTAGGTTGCAATTGTTGGTCTTACGGTTGTAACTGTCGGTTTTGGGTTATCACTTGGTCTTAGGGGCTTGGTCTTAGGTTGCAATTGTTGGTCTTACGGTTGTAACTGTCGGTTTTGGGTTATCACTTGGTCTTAGGGTTGTAACTGTTGGTTTGGGGTTACTGCTTGGTCTTAGGGTTATAACTGTTGGTTTTGGGTTATCACTTGGTCTTAGGGTTATAACTGTCTGTTTTGGGTTATCACTTGGTCTTAGGGTTGTAACTGTCTGTTTTGGGTTATCACTTGGTCTTACGGTTGTAACTGTCGGTTTTGGGTTATCACTTGGTCTTAGGGTTGTAACTGTTGGTTTGGGGTTACCGCTTGGTCTTAGGGTTGTAACTGTCTGTTTTGGGTTATCGCTTGGTCTTAGGGTTGTAACTGTCTGTTTTGGGTTATCACTTGGTCTTAGGGTTGTAACTGTTGGTTTGGGGTTATCACTTGGTCTTAGGGTTGTAACTGTTGGTTTGGGATTACCGCTTGGTCTTAGGGTTGTAACTGTTGGTTTTGGGTTATCACTTGGTCTTAGGATGATGGGGGCCGGCCGAGCGGACAGAACACTGGACTTGTGATCCTGTAGTCCCGGGTTCGATCCCGGGCGCCGGCGAGAAACAATGGGCAGAGTTTTTCACCCTATGCCCCTATTACCTAGCAGTAAAATAGGTACCTGGGTGTTAGTCAGCTGTCACGGGCTGCTTCCTGAGGGTGGAGGCCTGGTCGAGGACCGGGCCGCGGGGACACTAAAGCCCCGAAATCATCTCAAGATAACCTCAAGATAGGATTGTAATAGTTGGTTTTGGGTTATCACTTGGTCTTAGGGTTGTAATAGTTGGTTTTGGGTTATCACTTGGTCTTAGGGTTGTAATTGTTGGTTTAGGGTTATCACTTGGTCTTAGGGTTGTAACTGTCTGTTTTGGGTTATCGCTTGGTCTTAGGGTTGTAACTGTCTGTTTTGGGTTATCGCTTGGTCTTAGGGTTGTAACTGTCTGTTTTGGGTTATCACTTGGTCTTAGGGTTGTAACTGTCTGTTTTGGGTTATCACTTGGTCTTAGGGTTGTAATTGTTGGTTTAGGGTTATCACTTGGTCTTAGGGTTGTTATTTTGCAGTGTTGGGGCATTTTGTTAGCTGCATTTGGTTTTCATTTTATGCTAGAACTTGAGGAAATGTTTACCTTCATTTTGAAACATTAAAAGTACTGTGATGGGCTTGTGTATTTGACCGACGTGTCAGGCCTACTAGGAGTCCTGTTGTTGTTTGGTGGCAGTTTCTTAATGGAAATTTGCTTAATTTTCTCAGATGTAGGATAGTCGTTTTAAATATAAATTTGACTAGACTGCAGATTAAATTATTTTTTATTGTGAAATGTATATACCAAATTCACATCAATATGTAGTGTATTGCATAATAGCTTTTTATTTTGTATTAGATGTAGTACAGGTAGCATCGATTTTGGCTATAGTATTTCAGTGATATATTAGATGTAGTTTTGTATATACAGTATTTTCTGGCTTGGGCATCTTTATTGTCTTGTTAGGTTAGGTATATGTGGCAAGGAAATTGGGTAAAGAAGAGTTACAGTACCAGGAGAGTGTTTGATCCAACCGGCTGTTGCTGGGAGTGGCTCGCAGGCCCAAATGACCACTACAGCCCGGTTGGTTTGGCACTTCTAATTTTCTTCAAGAAGTATCGGACCAACCAGGCTGTGGTGGTTGTGCATGCCTGTGGGTTGCTCCAAGCAACAGCCTGTTGGACTAAGCTCTTACAAGTCAAGCCTGGCCTGGCCCTTGGCCTGGGCTTGGGGAGTAGAAAAACTTCCAGAATACAATCAAGCGGGTATCCAGCAGGTTGTGTGTGTGTGTGTCAATCGTTCTATGAACAACCCCCTTGCATTGGCTGCATGCACCCTTGTCTCGCTTCTGGAGGTTACATGAAATAAATGGCTATAACTTCGAATATTCAGTTTTTCTTCACATAGTTTATGCCCTTGTATATTTTTGTATTGTATATCGTTTGCATACATAAATATATGTGTAAACTTTCCACATTAAATGTTTCGAGTTGGTCATAGTGCTGATCAAACATCTGATGGAGGATTTTAGGACTTTTTCCATTTTATCTCATTTAGTCATTCATGTCTGGGGGTTTTACGTGTTAATGTTCTTATAATAGAAACTTGGACTTTAATTATCCAGATAAGGAGAGATGGCACTATATGGCTCTGAAGAGAGATGGAATGTCCAGAAAAATAGGGCAACTTCAAAATTATGCCCATGTTTCTATTGACATAATTATTGAATTGAATTACTATATATATACAAAATTCATGCTCCATAGTTCTTCTATATTGTATCTAATTCTAACAGATTTATAAATAATGACAATTATTAATGAAAAGTAAAACTAATAAAATTGTAGAAGATAATGAAACAACCTTGATTGTGGCTGTTGGCCATTTATCATGAGGTGTCATGGCTCCATATATCAGGTGTTGTGATGTTGGATTATTCACTGAATAACAATAACTATTTTAAATATTAAAGCCTATGACCATAATATGCTTTTCACAAAAGCATTGGTATGCCTTAAAATATAAATACAGGAATAATACCTATCTTTAAGACTGAGAGAAATGTATTTGGCAACATGTCACATGCAAGAGGGTTTAAATATTCGTGTCCTTTTTGTCCGGTTACTGCACATTTGGATTGCTTAGTTGTATTTATAAAACAAAAATTGCAAATATAAGTTTAGACAAAATTACAACATAAATGCGCACATGTCCCTTCAAAGGTGCATGCGCGCACACACGCCACCTTCGAAGGTGTACGCACATGGCCACCTTCAAAGGTGCACGCACATGGCCACCTTCAAAGGTGCACGCACATGGCCACCTTCAAAGGTGCACGCACATGGCCACCTTCAAAGGTGCACGCACATGGCCACCTTCAAAGGTGCACGCACATGGCCACCTTCAAAGGTGCACGCACATGGCCACCTTCAAAGGTGCACGCACATGGCCACCTTCAAAGGTGCACGCACATGGCCACCTTCAAAGGTGCACGCACATGGCCACCTTCAAAGGTGCACGCACATGGCCACCTTCAAAGGTGCACGCACATGGCCACCTTCAAAGGTGCACGCACATGGCCACCTTCAAAGGTGCACGCACATGGCCACCTTCAAAGGTGCACGCACATGGCCACCTTCAAAGGTGCACGCACATGGCCACCTTCAAAGGTGCACGCACATGGCCACCTTCAAAGGTGCACGCACATGGCCACCTTCAAAGGTGCACGCACATGGCCACCTTCAAAGGTGCGCTCGCACATGGCCACCTTCAAAGGTGCGCTCGCACATGGCCACCTTCAAAGGTGCGCTCGCACATGGCCACCTTCAAAGGTGCGCTCGCACAGCCCCCTTTCAAAGGTACACGCACACGGCCATCTTCAAAGGTACACGCACACGGCCCCCTTTCAAAGGTCCACGCACACGGCCCCCTTTCAAAGGTCCACGCACACGGGCCCCCTTTCAAAGGTCCACGCACACGGCCCCCTTTCAAAGGTCCACGCACACGGCCACCTTCAAAGGTACATGCACATGGTCCTCTTTCAAAGGTCCACGCACACGGCCACCTTCAAAGGTCCGTGCATCAAAACACGACTCATTATTTTTAGAATTGTTTAGAATGTGTATTTGGGAGTTTGCGAAGGGTATAGTGGGTCAAATTTGATAAATACAAGAAGTTCCAAAGTTGCTTTGCATATTTGTTGATGCTGTGGTGTGATCAGTGATTGGAAGAGCTTCATTCATCAGGCCTGTTATTTAATTTGTTTTAATGATTTAATAACTTGAATAATAAGATATTAATTTTCAGGTTTGGTTCCAGATCGTGTATGTCATATTTTTCACATGAGTGACATCCTTTCCTGTCAACCTAAACACTACAGACTAAATGTAAATCTGGTTATTTGATGCAGCTAACGCCCCCTTCCCTTTCACTTTAACTATCACTACCAC